GGCTAGTGGACACAACACCATATTCCCCACTTTGTCGCCGGTTGCGCCAAACTAACCGGTGAATCAGGTCTTGCACTTTAAAATGAGTTGGGGTTAGATGAGGCCAGGTTGGAAGTTGGAGGCAATCATGCGAACATATTTTTCTGTAAACATAATGTGCATGCTATCCTGGAGGCCTAGCAACAACAAGAATGGCTTTTGTGGCCGGGGAGGGGGGGGGTTAGTGGGATAAAATGGCCGTACGGTGCACCCAAACCACACTCAGAGCTGGCCAGATGGGAATTTGATTTGGTAGAAGAATATTACTCAAGTATTCGTCCTTTTAAGGAAGTAGAATTCCTTCTCCTCCCCCTTATTTTTTAAGGGTAGCTGTGAATGTTTGCTTCTTTCGGGAAAGTATGTGGGTGTACGCCCGCGAAGCAAAGCGCATGGGGGTCGGAAAGGGCTAGCTTAGAACGTGCTGCACTGAAGATGCGCTGGATCAGAAAGGGGGTCAGATTGGCTCAAAACGCACGCTAATCGAACGGTGCACTACCGCACATGCATACGGTGGAGCACGCTTTAGACTGAAACGATCACGCCGCGTCAGTAACTAGGACTGGTCGCTTCGCCCTAAAGCTGCCAAGTCATCTGGACCATATGGGATTCATCCAAATGCCCTTCGGGAATTGGCCAACGTACTGTGTGATATTCCAAAAGTCAGTGGAAGAAGGTGAACTGCCCTTATCTCCCCGGTCTAGAAAAGAGGGTCCAGGCTGGAATCGGGAGATAACTGTCTAATTAGTTTAACGTGCGTTTTGTGCAAGGCCAACGAAGGACTTATTGAGAGACAGTTAATGGCTTCTTCAGAACAGAGGAACATATTACGTGCTGACCAGTATGGTTTTCGCCGTAGGCACTCGTTTGTTACACGTTTGGTTCTTGGCAGAGACTTTTCCCCAAACACCAGCACTATCTGAAAGGGACTCCACTAAAACAAATGGATATGCACAAAGATATAGGTATTTGGACAGCTTAAAATCTCCTGCCTTCTAAAAATTCTAAAAGGCCGTCTAAAAGGCGACAAGCATCCTGCACTGGATCAGGCGGGCTTTCACATTGTTTCCGCCCGAACTGTTTGCGCGGATCTTCAAAACTTTCATCAGACCGCATTTAGAATATGCAATGCCAGCATGGATGCCCTTGAAATGATCCCATCGAGCAGGTGCAACGACGGGCAGCCAAGCTGATGGACGGTCTTAGGACTCTGTCGTATCCTGAAAAGGGGAAATAAGCTAGACCCTTTTCCCCTATCCTATAGACAAATTAGGTGCGACCTGCTATAGTAATTCCGTACTATCCACGGACATTTCTGTTCGCTGAAATCTGAAGATTTCTTTCAGTTTACAAATATGACTCACCTGCGCGGCCACCCGTACAAGATCAACCGTCAATGTACACGCCTAGATCCACCCAACTTAACCTTTAGTCAGCCAGTGGTTCAAACATGGAAGTCCTTCCCCAGCGAAAGAGTAACGTCGAATACCGTTGCTGTGTTCAAACGATAGATAACCGACGACCCTAACTGCAGGACTGCCTCCGACAAACCGTGAACTTGAACTTTTAGTAAACCCCACACACTACCATGTTTTATGCGGTGCATATCATTGGTTCTTTTAACTCGGCTGTACGTGAATAGGGCCAGAAAGGGTTAACGCCCGTAATCCTCAAAGTATACAATATACACAACAGGTTCGAACAGTCAACTGATGCATATTCGAGAAAGTTGTGCATCTTGCACACTTCTAGGAATTTAGACTCCATGCCAGAATAGACCTCTAGGTTTCACGTGACCAAAAAGAACTAGTTTCCTCAGAGCACTGTCTAAAGAATGGCATACAGCTCTTGCATTTTTTTGAAAATTTGCACTTTCATTCTTAACAGAGGTGCGGCTGACCCATGTACACTTCTTCAGTGCATAAGCAAAGGGAATTACTTTTCGCAGCGGGATGATTAATAGTTTAGTTGCATAGCATTTAACAATGTGTCTCTATAGTCGGTCTTCCTTTCCTCGGTCAACATCATGGGCAGATGGTACTTCTTGGTAATCAGGCCGTTAGTTGGCTGAATTCGGCAGAAAGAATTTCAATTGCCTTATTGTGGTCTGATTGCCCGACTTGATATGAGATCGACCATAGATTCGTCTAACGTCAGCGTTGTGTAATTCTTTGGTCATTATCATCATTCTTGACGCTTTTGGAGATTCGGCACGTGGAAAGAAGAATTCGACTGATCCAAGCGTGAAAAATTAGCGGCCTCAGTGGGAGTCGAACCCACACAGCAAAAAAGCGCCTATGGATCCCACGCGACATCTCCATCACAACGAACATTCGTGTATACAGTGCATCCATCCGGTCAGTCTTCCTCTATGGATGTGAATGCTGGGCTGTGCG